AAATATATTTACATAAAAGAGAAATAAATGCACAAAAGAAAACAAGGGAAGATGGAAGCCAACTCTAAAATTATTGTTAAGGACCCTTCATAAACATAGAAAAAGTTGTTTAGCTTACTAAACAAACAATTTAAGAAAGGATAGCTACTTTATATTTAGAGCAAAACTGGAGGACCAAACTGAAGATTTTTTAAAAATGTCATAACTGAAATGGATAACATTTTCTTGGTTTGTGTTCATTGAAGTCCATGGATCAAAGAAAAAAAAAAGTAAAAAAAAAAAAAAGAAGAAAATCCTTTTAAACTTTTAAACCAATAGATTAATGATTAGGGTACATAATAAAATAAATTCGACATTTTAGCCTTTTTCGCTTTATACACTAAGGCCCCGTTTTGATAGCACACATTTTTCATGGATTTCCAACTTTTGTCATGTTTGATAGGCAAAATTTTTCAACTTTCCAAATTTTTCATATTTTGAGGAAAATAAATTATTGATATTTTAGTGAGTAAATATTTTCTAGGTTTTTTTTTGACAATTGAAAAAAATTCTAGATATGATGGTAAAAAAAATTCACTTTTGTTGACAATTTTCATACAAAACAAAACCAAACAAATGATATTCGGTATGGTTATTTTTTTTCATTTTTTTTATTTACAATTGAAATAAATTCTAAATCCAATGGTAGAAAATGTTATCACTTTAATAGACAATTTTCATTAAAAATTATATCATTAAAACACAAATAATTACAATTCTTAGTAAAACAATTTCTAGGCAAATCAATTCCCTGTAAAACATTTTCTTTCCACTCATTTTCTACATTTGCAATCAAACAGATCCTAAGCTCCTGTTTGTCCCTCATTTATTAAATTTATTTTCAACAATATATTTTATAAAATTCGCAACTTTTATCAATTTTTCAGCCACGTAATTTCAACAACTTTTACCAACAATTACAGAAAAAATCTAAGTGAAGAATTCTTGTACATTTCTTCATAAGACTTGTCGACTTGACACACAAAAGACGGGATATTTTTTATTTATTTTGCTTTACTTTCTCTCGAGTGGATTATTGTGGTTCATATTTGCTTATTTACATCAACTTGTCACATGACCCAGCCGTTAGGTAAAAGGTATCGATTTGCCCTTACTATTTGAACTCGTACACTTGCACGAATAAACCAATTTATTTCGATACGGTGTCGGTATGTTTGTATATACATGTCAGAGATTCATGTTTTCTGCGAGACAAAAACCCAAAGTCAAAAGAGTGAATGGGTTGGTCCACACGGACATATATGTACTTATAATTTTATATTCCT